GAGGAAGCTGAGCGGGTCGCCCTGCTTTGTCCCACGCTGTCTCTGGAACCCCTTGTTGGCGCGATCGGTCTTCACGGTAGCTGTCTGGCCCCAGTACAGGTCTCGAAGAATTCGGATGTATCTTTCGTCAATAGCCTGTTCAGCCAAAGCATCCCATATTACCCTGATCGCAACACTGTCAAATGATTTCTGGAAGTCGACCGCGACAACCCACCTAGTTATTTGTGGCTCGTCCGCTGTTGCCTCCATTTTTTGAGTTTTAAAAAGAGAAGAAATGTGGTGGATCGCAACTGTCGAAAACCTGCCGGGTCATTGCTTTGTTTCTTGCCCAAAATCGGCATCAGTCATTTATATAACGATCGGGAAGACAATATGTAAAGTATAAGAATAATGTCGATGGGCCTGTGATTTTGCGACAAATTCGCGTCTCCATTTTTGAATATGACGTTGACCACGGTGCGTTTCAACTCTGCCAGTGCTGGGGCTTTGAAGCTAATATTGTCTTTGTACATCATAAGAATATTATCCTTGATCGCCGAACCTCCCGACGATACCGTCTGAATTAAGATGCCCTATCTGTCTGCTGCTTTACCTTTCTTCATTTGCTTCAGCGCCGTCTGTAGACCTTGCATGGCGACATGTGCAAGGTGTCTCGCCGCTGTAGACACCTCGTCCTTACCTGGGTTATTGCTCCCAGCGTTGAATTTCATTTCAGTACAACTTGCTGTAGAAATCTGCAAACATGTCGGCAATCTCATGCCTGTCCCGCACAGTATCCCCACACTTACAGATCACAGCTGTAATGAAGCCCTTTGGTTTCTGTGATTTGATGCCAGAGATCTTCTTCAAATTACGAGACTCAGATAATATGTGGTTATTTTCCGATCGACGTTCTTCTCTCCTAATGGTCTGGATCTGGTTTCGGATCTCCTTGTTGAGAGCTCGTTTTGTTGCAGGGTCGTCTTCGTTGGTCTCGCGTCTCTTTCTTTTACGTCCAATTCACCGTCCTCGCGTTGAATTGTGCTCGGTCGTGGAGCACCGGAGCGGGCCATAACCATAGACTGCAATATCGTTTTTCAAGTTGGTCAGAATTGAGATGTTTGCCGCGCGTACCACGCAAAAGTTCACGAGTTTGTGCTTCGATGCTGGATTGATCTGTCTCCATACGCTGTGGGGGCCATCGCACTGACGTCGTAGTGATGTTGTTGCTCTTCTTGTTGCCATTCGTCTTGCGCGTCTCCTTCCGCAGGGCAGCTCTCCGCAGCCGTACCGTGGTGCGGTTAGAACCGAGATCTGCAACCTTCGTCGTTCCGATGTTTTGACAGTTATCTAAAACTGGCGATTCACCAGAAAATAATAGATTTGCTTCTTCACACTGTCAGGCGCATGGTCTGTGCAACGATGCTGATATCGCTTTAAAAAATATGCATTCGTGACTTTGAGCTTGCGGGACGCTGACCAGTGTCGAATCCATTGCCCCCTTTGAATTTGCCAAGCCATATCCAAATGGGCCCGTGATGTCGGAACTGTCATCGGTTATCTGACCCGCTTATGTTTTGCAGTCCGCCCCGATGGCAAAGTACATGTTCCGCCGCTCCGCCTCGTTCTGGATCTCTGTTAAAGTTTCATATACTGACTGTACGTGGTTCCCTACCTAGGCTCTGCCTAGAAGGGTTCTTACTCTCTTAGCTTAAAGGGGCCGGGCAGTGCAACACGCCCCGGGCGGTTCCCCCAGTCCCCTGGGAGCGGTTCCCCCCAGTCCCCTGGGAGCTTTAGCTTTAGCTTTAGCTTTAGCTTAGCTTTAGCTTAGCTTTAGCTTAGCTGTAGCTTAGCTTTAGCTTAGCGTTTCGCTTAGCTTTTCGCTTAGCGTTTAGCTTAGCTTTAGCTTAGCTTTAGCTTAGCTTGAGCTTAGCTGTATCTTAGCTTTAGTTTAGCTTTAGCTTAGCTTTAGCCCAGCGTTAGCTTAGCTTTAGCTTAGCTTTAGTTTAGCTGTAGCTTAGCTTTTTAGCTGTTGCTCAGCTTTAGCTTAGCTTTAGCTTAGCTTTAGCTTAGCTTTAGCTTAGCTTTAGCTTAGCTTTAGCTTAGCTTTAACTTAACTTTGCTTAGCTGTGGCTTAGCTTTAGCTTAGCTTTAGCTTAGCGTTACTGTTACTACTAATGCTGCTTTCCTAGGGGTTCCAACTCCTAGGTAGGGTCGCACTGGGATAATGATCCGCATGGCCACTGTGAGGGAAATACGATGTAACCAAGTCGGAGCCCTGGGCGGGAGACGTCAACATACGCAAGCCGTTCCGAGATGACCTAAAATTTAGAAATATATGGGTTCCACCTCTTATGAACTAGAATTGCAACTCACCGGGTTGGCTTGGTATTCTTTGTTGCTATAAACATGTGCCCATCTTCAGCAGCCCAGAACTATTCTGGAATAGTCCTCATGGTTTTTGTCCATGGTGATGAAATCCCACCTTGTATTTCTAAGCCCCTTCACACATTCGCATACTCTGTGGTTGTCCGTCATCCCCTGGACATTCTTGTGGAACAGCGTGAGGTCGAAGTCCGTGGCGGTGTTCGTCTGATCGATGTTCGTTTGGTCTGCCGTCCGCTCCTCTACGACGTTGGCGGATGGGTCCTGAGAAGTATGTAGCAAAGATACTTGGGGGAAACCTCCATCTACAAATCTGTTTTTTTTCTGGCCTCCTCCTCCAAGAGTCTGTGGGCGATTGGGTACCGTATACTGTGGAACCTCCTGGGGCTTTGACGCAGGCATCGGTGGTGATACGACTGTGGGCGTATTTACCCTCCAGTGCAGGAGTCGGTGAATGCCCCCTCCGGTGTAGGAGTCGGTGAAACAAACATTGTGTTGGTAGTCATGGGAGTAGTCGGGAACATGAGGGGAGCGATCAGAATGCAATGTTTTCAACATCCACTTTTTACATCAACCCGTCCTCCATCCAAAAATCGCGTGCTCGAGGGTGAAACATATTGAATCAATCCTTGTAATGGTACTCGTGCGCGGTCTCGACGTTGAGGCCGTTACTCTTCACGATTCCTCTTCCATTCCCTCATGGACTCTATCATTGCTTCGAGTACTTCGATTCCGACTCCGAACGTCTCTTTTTTTTCCTTCTCCATCAATTCTTCCCACCTCCTCCTTTGTTATTTTGACGACGCCTGTATTCTAATAGATGCGAATGTCAATTTGTGCATGTTCCTTGTTCATCAGATTGTGCTTGAGCTGTCCCAACGTCTTGTTGATGACCCGTTTCTTGTATGTGTCGTTGTTTGTGAACCACATTTTGTCTCCACAGTCCCAGGTAATCTTCTGGCCGAGCATTCTCGTCAGGAAGCCGATTTTCGTTGCCTTAGTCCTGAAAGTGATGATGATGCATATCTTGGACGGGTCAATGTAAGCAGATCTGTTTGACGCTTATTGGTTCATCTTGTTGTTATCCACTATTTGTTGTACTTGTTTGTTGATGTTGTCCTCTTCCTCAGGCTCCTCCTTCAAACCACCAACAATAAACTGTAGGTCTCTCTCTCCATACGTTCGTCGTCTTGTGGATGTGTCGGATGTACCAGGAGCTTCTCTTGGTTGCTCAGGGTTTTTTGAATGTTTGTGCCGAGGAGCGTCTCCAGCTCGTGTTTGAGGTCAGACTTTGGGGCGTAGAGGTCCAACTCGTCCTTCAAATTGTCCACCTGCATCTCGAGGTCGTTTAGTGTATCATCCATCTGTTGCTCCAATTCTGTCATTGCCTGCTTTGCTTAATGTGCCTCATCTTCTGCCTCTTGGATCATTAATTTGACGTCGGTGAGGTCCGTCTCGAGCTTTGCGAAACGAATTGCAAGTCTCTTGTCCTAAGAAACCAACCCGGCGCAGCAGCTCAGAGAGTCTCCCGCTGGTGTGGCAACGTCCATCAGAGCATTAGATCTTTTCTTGGGTTTCTGCTTTTGGGGGGTGGACCCAGATCTCTGACCAACACGTTTCGACATCCCTGCCCAGTTCGGTGCCACGAGCATGCACGGGAACGTTGTGGGCTTTAAAGAATGAGAGATCAAAGTCAAAGTGAGTTACAGTAGTTGTGGTCGGAGCTATCGTTGACCAAAGCTACTGCTTGAGCCATTCTATGTGTTTGGACGTTTCTGGCCCGCTTTGGGCTTGCAAAAGCTATCATGGGAACCTCAGAGGCCTTTGGCTGGCGGCGTCCAGAGTTCTCCCACACGGACTCGATCCGATTCGGTTTCGACATGCCGTTGATCCGAGGCGGCCCTTGGTGTCTGTACGACGCCATCTTCGTGGACCTGGGCGTTGCCGATCCAATTGGGTTTCGATCTTGGCCTTGTGCCGACGCGTCCTGACCCGGTGCACGTGTCAGTCCGGTCCGATCTGATGTTCTCTTTTGGCGGGGTCACATGCACATCCTGATCCTCGCGGTCTGGACCCTTCGCCCGCCGTGCTCCGCGCGGAACGTACCCATAGGATCGCGCAACGATGGGATCGCACCTCGGCATCCAGACCGCGAGGGCATGGGCATGGATATGCTCGCCGCTCGTGATTCACGACGGCCCAGGCATATGGCGGTATGTGATTGTTTCGAGACATGGGCCCCCAGACCTCTCGATCCCTTCCCCGGGGCAAGTTGTTCATCCTGGATCGTTTGTTGTTGGCCCTGGGGCCGAACGCGGGCGTCAGGAGATCCAGAACAGCGAAACACATTGCCGCCTCGCATTTTTCGAGCCGCCAGATGTCTGGGGCCAGGGGCTGTCTGTTACGACAGTTTCGCGCCACGTTCACGCGGCGGCGACCCCAGCGGGGGCATTGAAGGTTGAACGCCGCTAGTGGCCCAGAACCGTCCGACACCGAACGATCCGCACTATGTCGGAAAGCCGGCGATCGTTCCAGGTCGAATGCCCCACGCAGTGCCACGGTCCAGTGACTCCAGTGCGTTGTCGTCGTCACGACAAGGAGCCCGCTGTGCGAAAACCCAAGCCGTGCCAGCAAAGGATGGCTCAGCTGCTGCGGTACCACCGCCCCCAGCGGGCCAGCGAGCTCGAGGGCGCCTGCCGTGCGGCGGGGCACCCTGGCCTCGCGGCGGCTCTCGGGGCGGCGTGCAGCTCCTGCGGCATGCCGGTGGCGCTGCGGGACATCCTGCTCGAGTTGCCGGAGAGCGACGCCGACTTGTGGACCGACGCGGACGCCTGCGGTCACCGGCGACCGCATTCGGTTGTCGGGGGGGCGCCCTCGCGGCCCCAGCTGGGCGCAGCTCGAAAAGTTGGGCGGTGTGGACCCCCAGGACGGGCTTTGGACTCGGTCTGGAGCTGATTCTGGCCTGTGGGCAGGGGGCGCCTCCTTCAGAGGGCAGGGGGTTCCTTGGAAGGCCTGCCGCCTTCCACGAAGCCTTGTCCTAAGCCTCCCATCCCCTATCCCTCCCAAGACGCCCCCCTCCTGTCAGGAGGCCGCCCCCGCCCCCCTGCGAGGTCACACGGAAGCGGACCTCCTGTGCCTCGCGTGCGACTTGGTCGTGCTGGAGGGGAGGCAGGGTTTGTTGCTCCTGCTGATCGTCGCGCTCCTGTCGGAGGCGGCCGCCAGCCTCAAGCCCGAGGCTGCCGCTGGCCTCGACGAGGCCCTGCGAGGCGCGCTTTCGCTGAGCCTCGCCGCTCGGCTCAGCGTGGAGGAGATCCACCGGTGTGTGCAGGACGCGCGCGCCATGCTGGACAGCACGCCGACGACGCTGCAGGGCGTCTTCGACGACGCCGGTGCCGAGTTGCCCGCTTGCGCCGTGGCGCCCGAGGAGGTCCTGCGGCACACCCACGGGGGCGCCGTCGGTGACTGGCGGCTGATCGTCGTGGACGCGCGCATGAGGCCCAGCACGCTCGCGCTGCCCGTCTGCGTGAGGCTCCCGCTGGCGCGACACAGCGCCAGGCGTGGCGCGCTGAGGGAGCTCCCCGGGGATGACGCCATCCACGTCTGCCTGGTGGGCGACCTGGCCCCCACGCGGGGAGACGACGCCTTCGAGCTCTGCCGGTACTTGTCCGGGCCCGGGGTCTTCCGCAGCCATGTCTCGGTTGTGGCGGGCGGGTGGGCGAGCCTCGAGATGGCCGCGGCCGCGCTCGACCTCGACCTGCTGCCGGCCTGCAGCCTCGAGGACGAGAGGGGGGAGTCCCGAGACGCCGCGGCGGCGGTCGCCGAGGCCGTGGGCCACGTCGCCGACGTGACGGGGCGCGTGTCCGGCGCGGCGCACCAGGCGGTGCAGACTGCGTGGGCCGAGGCCCCGCCGCTCGGGCCCGCGGTGGCCGGCGCCCGCGTGGCGGCGGCCGGGGCAGCCGGGCAGGCGGCGGAGGCCGCCGGGCAGGCGGCGCGGAGGCGGTGGGCCGATCTTCCTCTTTTTCCTCGTCTTCTTTTTCTCATCATTATTGTTGTGCCTCTTATCATTTGTCTTATTCTTCTTCATCTTTTTCATCGTTTAATTCCTATATGTGTTATAGGTATGATAGATCTCATTACTCCTCTCCTTGTGCTCCTCCTGTTCATCCTTCTCCTTCGCGTGCTTGCATCATCCAGGTAACTGACACCATGTGCGTACATCTCGAGAACAGGGTTTGTCCGTTTGCACTACAGTGTCTGGTCCTGGAAGTTGTCCGCAGCGTTTTGGAGAGAGGGTCAGATGATCGGTCTTTGTATGTGCATGCGGAAACTTAGCGTGGCCCGAGATTTGATCGCATCCCCCGAGTAGGGCGATTGAGCCGGGTGTTTCATGCCTTGAGCCCATCGAAGGATCATCTAGTCGGGTGAATCGTTGCTCCTGCAGTGGAGGATTTACGTGCGCCACACGGGGTGCTGTCATTGCGAATTCAGGTCGCGTTCTCGTCGAGACGCATGCCCTCTAGCACGTGGCTCCCGGCGGTCGTGGTACAGTGGTAGAGGAGTCTTCACAGTCGCAGTGTGTAGCTCCGCCGCGTGCGTCGTTTTGCACCAGCGTGGGCCGCGTCACTGCGAACAGAGCCCCGTTCTGGGTGTCCGAGCCGTCAGCCCTGGATGCACTGGAATTTGCGGTTCGCAGACGACGGGCCCGTCGGGGATGGCTAACTTTTCTTATTGATTGCAGGAGCCTGCGTGTTGAGAGTTGTGTATCCCTGGTCGTGTAGGATCCCTTCAGAATACGTTGATTCCAGTGGTTGTCCTCAGGAAGTTGTCCGCAGCGCTTTGGGCAAATGGTGAGGTGATCGGTCGCTCCGCATTCAATATGTGCTTGAAGTTACTGAGCGCAGCCCGATTCCATCGCACCCTTCCTGTGCGATTGAGTGGGGTGTGTTACGCGTTGGGCCTTGGGCCTATCTAGTCCAGTGGATCTTGTCATTGGTTTCCGCAATGGAGGAGTTGCGTGCGCCACATGGGGCGCTGGCATTGCGAATTCAGGTCGCGCTCTCGTCGAGAAGCGGGCCCTCTGGCACATGTCCCAAGCAGTCGCGGTGGAGAAGCCTTTCCAGTCGCAGGGTCTAGCTCCGCCGCGTGCGTCGTTTTGCACCAGCTTGGGCCGCGTCACTGCGAACAGAGCCCCGTTCTGGCAAACACACTTTGGCTCCTCTGCTTTGGGCGTCCGAGCCGTCAGCCCACGATGCATTTGAGCGTGCGGTTCGCAGACGACGGGCCCGTCACGGGTGGCTGCCTCTTCCTAATGCAGGAGCTTGCGCGTTGAGAGTTGTGTAGCTCTGGTCGTGTAGGACCACCTCAGGACAAAGTCCTATGGCTGTTTCCGGGAAGGTGTTTTGCAGCACTTTGGGCAACGTCTCACGTGAGATGGCCAAGCCATCAGCCAGCCCGCATCGCGAAAATAACCGCGTTTCGACTTTGGAACACTGGCTATCCCAGCAAGGGCTAGATCGAATATATTGTTGCTCAGCTTGGGGCGTCATGGCCCTCCTGGTACGATCGCCACTCTCACTACCTTTGTGAGCAGTGGTGATCGTACCAGGAGGGCAATGACGCCCGAGTCAATCGCACCCCCTTAGCGCGATTGGGCGGGGCGTTTCATGCCTGGGGCCAGTCGATGGTCGCGAGGGCTCGCGCGATGAAAGAGTTGCATGCGCCGCGCGGGGTGGTTTCATCGCGAATTCCGGTCGCACCCTCGTCGAGTAGTAAGCCTTCCGGCACGCGGCCTCGGGCGGTTGTGGCGGGCGAACCTTTTCAGCGGCAGCGTCTTGCACCGCCGCGCGCGTCGTTGCGCGCCGGCGCGGTGCCCTGGGCGCCCGAGCCGTCGGCCCAGAATGCATTGGAGTTCACTATTCGCAGACGGCGGGCATTACTCCCATGCAGGAGCCTGCGCGTCGAGAGTCGCGCAGCCATTGTCGCGTTGGCCCCCTTCAGAACAAGCTGATGCCAGCGGCAAGTTCTATGCCGTTGTCCGCGGCGCCGTGGGCAGAGGGTTGGGCGGTCGGTCGGCGCGTTCTCCATCTGTGCTTGCGAGAAATGAGCGCAGTCCGAGTACATCGCATGACCCTTCAGCGCGAGTGAGCGGGGCGTGTCTCGCCTCGGGCCCACCTGGCCCAGTGGATCGCGGCATGGGTTCGCGCAATAGAGGGGCTCTGCGCGCCGCGAAGGGCGACTCCATCGCGACTTCAGTTCGCGCCCTTGTCGAGAAGCCCCATCTTGCACGCGGCCCCGCGCGTTCTTGGTGCGAGAGCCTCTCCTGTCGGAGCGTCTAGCGCCGCCGGGCGCGTCGCTGCGCGCCGGCGTCGATAAATCGGCCGCGAGTGCAGCCCCGCCCCAGCAAACGCACATGGACACCATTGGCCTGGGCTTCCGAGCCGCCCGATCCTGCTGCGGGAGCCAGCGCGTTGAGAGTCGCGCGGCCATTGTCGCGTAGGAGCCCAGGCCGCTTCGGGGTGGGTTTACGCCAGGGGCCAGTCCGAAGAAGAAATGTGTCGGCGGCGCTGTTGGCCGAGGATCAGAGGGTCAGGTGGTCGGTCGCTTTGCCCCAAATCAGTGCTTACGGAAACTGCGCGTAGTCCATGTTAGTCACCTCTTTTCAGTGCGATTGCGAGGGGCGCCTCATGCTTTGGAGCCATCATGTCCAGTGGATCGTTGCATTTGCTCGCGCAGTGGAGGAGTTGAGTGCGCCACCCGGCTTGATGTCTTCGTGGGCTCAGGTCGCGATCTCGCCGGGAAGTAGCCCTTCTGGCACATGGCTTTGGGCGGTCGTGGTCGAAGGGCCTTTGCACTTGCGGCGTCTACTTCCGCCGCGTGCGTCGATGCTCGCGAGCTTGGATCATTCGACCGCGAACGGGGCCCCGCTCTGGCAAAGGCACGCAGGCCCCCCCTGGTTGCCCGAGCCCGCTGCCCAGGATGCGCTGGAGCTTGCGGTTCGCCGAGGACGGGCCCGTCGCGGTGGCTGCCTCTTCCATGCGCAAGAGCCTTCGCGTTGAGAGTCTTGCGGCCCTGGTCGCGTGAGCTGTTTAAAGCGGCTGGTTCCAGGAAATTGCTCGCGGAAGCTCGGCGCATCCCGAGTCGATCTCGGCGTTTCACGCCTTGGGTCTATCTCGCCTCGCGGATCGCTGCAAGGGGTCGCGCAGTGAAGGAGTTGCGCGCGCCGTGAATGCCCCAGCCGCCAGCGCAGCATCCGCTAGAGCAGACGACGACCCCGTCGCGGGTGGCTGCTTCTTCCTCGCGCAGGAGCCCGCGGCGCGAGAGCCGTGTGGCCGCGGCTCAACAGGCCCCCCCCTCCCCAGAACAAGCTGATTCCAGCGGCTCGTCCCGGGAAATGGTCCAATGCGTTTTGGGCAGATGGTCAGGTGATCGAATGAGGTGCTCTTAATCTGTGCTTGCGAGAAGTCCGCGGACACGCTTTCGGCGACGTAGGTGACGGCGATGTAGGCTCGGGCAATGTAGGCGGGGGTGGTTCGTGGCCAACTCAATCTTTCGGAAAGCATTGATCGTATGTTACCAGAATTCGTCGTGCCGCTGTCGCTCGACACATTCGTGCATGCGAATCGTAGGAGAGCGTGGTCGGTGATTTCACTAGTGCTGTTTTGCCGCATGCCAGCCGTCGCCGTTAACTGGCGTCGCCGATGGCGTGGCCTTAGACATCGAGCATTGCTATCGAGTCAATGCCACCCCCCCAGTACGATTGAGTGGGCTGTTTCATGCTTCGGGCCCATCTGGTCCAGTGGATCGCTGCAAGGGCTCGCACAGTGGAGGAGTTGCGCGCGCCGCCCGGGTTGATGTCATCGCGACTTCAGGTCGCGCTCTCTTCGAGAAGTAGCCCCGCTGGCACATGGCCCCAGGCGGTCGTGGCCAAAGCGCCTTTGCAGTCACGGCGTCTACTTCCGCCGCGAGCGTCGTTTTGCACGAGCTTGGATGATTCGACCGCGAACGGGGCCCCGCTCTGGCAAAGGCGCATCGGCCCCCCCTGGTTGCCCGAGCCCGCTGCCCAGGATGCACTGGAGCTTGCGGTTCGCGTTCGACAGGCGCATCGCGGTGGCTGCGTCTTCTTTATGGAGGAGCCAGCGCGTTAAGAGTCGCGTGGCACTGGTCGCGAAAGCTGATTGCAGTGGCTGGTTCCAGGAGATTGCCCGCTGCGTTTTGGGCACAGGGTAAGGCGATCGGTCGCTGTGCTCTCAATCTGCGTTTGCGGCAGCTGCGCGCAGCCCGACTTAAGCGCGTCTACCCCCGTGCGATCGGGGCGTTTCGTGCCCAGGGCCCATCGATCTCAGTGGAACGTTGCGTGTGCTCCCGCAGTGGAGGATTTCCGCGCGCAACGCGGGGTGATGCCATCGCGAATTGAGTTCGCGCTCTCGTCGAGCCGTAGGCCTTCTGGCACATGGCCCCAGGCGGTCGCGGTGGAAGAGCCCGATCCAGTCGCAGTTTCTAGCTCCACCTCATGCGTCGACTCGCACCAGCGTAGACTATTTGACCGCGATCCGAGCCCTATTCTGGCAAATGCACATCAGCACCCCCTGTTTGTCCGAGCCGTCGGCCCGGGATGCACGGGAGCTTGCGGTTCGCAGACGACGGGCCCGTCGCGGTGGTTGCGTCTCTTTATGCAGGAGTTTGTGCGCAGAGAGTCGGGTGGTCCTGGTCGCGCAAACTGATTGCAGTGGTTGGTTCTGGGAGGCTGCCCGCAGCATTTTGGGCAGAGGGTCAGGCGATCGGTCGCTGCGCGCACAATCTGCGCTTGCGGCAACTGGGCGCAGCTCAAGTTCATCGCGCCTTGACAGTGTGATTGAGTGTGGTGTTTCGTGCCCTGGGCCCACTTAGTCCAGTGGATCGTTGTGGAGTCTCCCGCAGTGGAGAATTTCCGCGCGCCTCGCGGGGTGATGTCATCGCGAATTCAGGTCGTGCTCTCGTCGGGCCGTAGGTCCTCTGGCACATGGCCCAGGGCGGTCGTGGTGGAAGAACATTTCCAGTCGCATTGTCTAGCTCCACCGCGTGCATCGCTTTGCTCCAGCGTGGACCATTCGACTGCGAAGAAAGCCCCGTTGAGACAAAAGCACCTGGGCACCTTTACCCTGAATGTCCTAGTCGTCAACCAAGGTTGTATTATAACAGACGGTGAGACCGTCGCGGGTGGCTGCCTCTTCTTTATGCAGGAGCCTTCGCGTTAAGAGTCGTGTAGCCATGGTCGTGCTGGTGTTGGGAAATTGCCCGCAAGGCTTTGGGCGGAGGGTCTGGGTCTCTGTGCTCTCAATTGGTGCTTGCGGCATCTGGACTCTGCTGGCGGTTGCGACGGCCACGGCCGCGGCTGTGATAACAGCGGCGCGCGCCCTCCGCAGGGTCTGGGCCGGCGCCGGGGGCTTCGCCAGCGCGCTCGGCTCAATGCTCGCGGCCGCCGACGCCGACTCCGGCGGCGAGGAGGATCGCGGCCCGCCTTGCGTTGTGGAATCAAGGGTTGGGAGGACGAACAGGAGGAGGAGGAGGAGGAGGAGGAGGAGGAGGAGGAGGAGGAGGAGGAGGAGGAGGAGGAGGAGGAGGAGGAGGAGAGAGAGAGAAGGGATGGGGCGGCAGCCTCCCCTCCTCCTTCCCCTCCTCCTCCTCCTCCTTCCCTTCGTCCTTCCTTCTTTCCTTCTCTCCTCCTCATCCTCCTCCTCCATCTCCCTCCCCCTCCTCCCCCTCCTCTGCCTCCTCCTCCTTTTCCTCCTTTTCCTCCTCCTCGTCCTCCTCCTCCTCTTCCTCCTCCTCCTCATCCTCCTTTTTTCGGGGGGCGGAACAAGTGTTGTTGGGTTGGGAAAGGGGGGGAAGTAGGGAAGGGTCCTCCCCCCGCTTCCACTCCGCCCGTCCGAATGCCGCCGACGTTCAACATTTGTTGATTTGCGCGTGTGCTGTCGACGCAGCACATCCTAAAACGCCTCCAGCGACCCCCTATGATCTAATTGGCGTCGGCCCATTCCGCCACCGTGCCAGGGTTGTGGGTCATAGTCTTTTTGGATGCTTCTTGGGGTCTCTTCGGAGGGCTTTCGGGGGCCTCCTGGGTACAGTTTTGGAGCTTTCTGGGGGCCTCTTAGAGCTTCCTGGGGACCTGTTGGGGGCCTCTGGGAGCCTCTTGAGGGCCCCTTGACGCGTCTTCGAAGCCTCTTGGACCGTCTGCGGGCCATCTTGGGCGTCTTGGAGCGATCGGTCGTCTGTTCGGGGCCTCCTATGATATCTGATTGACCGAATTACCCTAACCAGGGTTATTGGCCAGAGAGCTGGCTAGAGGCAGCTGGAGGGTAACCCGGTGTTGGCCAGAGGGCTGGTCGGGGTAGTTATTCGGCAGGCAGTTCTTTCCATTGTAGAGAGCGCTTCAAGAATTGCAGGGTCTTTATTGTTCCGCCTTTTTGTCGGGGGTGGGCAGGCGCCCACATATGATTATTATGCTTCATACCTTCTATACCTACTTGCTCCGACTGGCGTGCCATTACGCAGGTGGTTCGATCGATCTGCGGTTTGGAGCACCCCTCCTCCCCGCCGTTTCCCTATATGTTTCTTGACCCTTTTGGAAGGGCCCAAGTCGCCACATGAAGTCTGGGGATCCATTTTGAGCTTGTTCGGGCCAGACCTGAAGAAAAGGAGGAGGAGGAGGCGGCGAAGTTTCTGGCGTTGTCGTTGGCAGTCGCGACCACCACCACAACCCCCAGACATTCACGAGCCCAGGGGCGCTTTTTGTCCAGGGTTTCGAGGCGGACCAAGCCGTGGCGACGATGGAACCTCAGGTGCTCCAACAAGGCCCCAAAGCGTCCAAGAACCTGGGCTTTAAATCCTCGATTCTCAACTACGCAGAAGATGCCGAGGGACACTGGCACTCCATGGCGAAGACGACGGCGACGCCGAAGACGATCGGGGGTCCCCTGCAGGCGATGATGGCCAAGACGACGGCGACGCCGCCGCCGACGCCGACGACGCGCGGCTACGGTGCCTCCGCGCGCGGCGACGCCGACGCCGACGCCGCGGGCGCCCCGGCAGGCCGACGGCGCCGCCGCCCGCCGAGGCGCCGGCGAGGCGGGCGCCCTCGCGGAGGGCGCGGGGACCGCGGCATTGCCAGCAGCGTTGCCGGAGGCCCCTCGGCGGCCCCGACCGTCGGCGGCCCGCGGGGGCCCCTCGGCGGCTAGTCGGACTGCCCTCGGCGTCCTTCGACGGCTCTCGGCGGCAGTCGGGGGCGCCAGCCATTACTCGCCATGGAATTGGGGATCCTGGGGGAAGATGTCCTGAGGCTGTTCGCCGGTTTGGGGCTCTAGGGGCCCTTCCCAAGCTCTAGGGCCGTCACGAACAGCTTCAGGACTCGCTTCCTCCATTCCATACTCGCATCGATTTGTGGGGCGGGTTCCTCTGCCCCGGCACGTGTTGCCTTGTTGCCTTCCTCGGCGTCCAGATGATCTCGGACAGCTTCGGAACAGCGTTGGATTGCTCTGAAATTCCCTCGGACAGCCATGAAGTAGCCATGGATGGCCTCTGAGATTGCGCGGACGGGCGGGTCAGGAGGACGTAGACGGCCCCATAGATTGTATACTCATCGTAGCAAACTCAGACAGTGATCATGATAGGAGATAGTAGGCGCAAAAGCGTTCGAAGGTCCGCGCGGAGGCGCGCTGCGCGCCTGGGAGGGGGTGTGGGGATGGGCCCAGCGCCGACCCAAGAAAGAAGGGAATTGAGGATCACATAGGATTCCCAGGGCATAGTCAAAGCGAGATGACAGTGATCAGTATTCCGTTCATTCCCCAAACAATGCTTGCACTGAAGGGCTCTTATCTGGCTTAACCATCTCGGGGTGAGTGGCGGTTTTTGCGGGCGGTGCCGCCTGTCGCCGCCGTCGCCGTCGCTGCCGCTCGGGGCGGCTTTTGCGGACGGTGCCGCCTGTCGCCGCCGTCGCCGTCGCCGCCGCTCGGGGCGAGTGGCGGCTTTTGCAGGCGGTGCCGCCCGTCGCCGCCGCCGCCGTCGCATATTTTTTTCCGAACGAGGATATAATCTACCCCACCCCC